ATCTGTGCCATGCCATGTGCATGGCATCGTCAAGTATCTGACAAAAGAAAAGAAAGGAGCGGTCGGAACGCTCAAAAGCCGACTGTGACAGCCTGGCGATCCCAAATCATCGCAACATAGACATTAACAGGCATTCCAAAATCATAAACATGTCAGTCATATCATAACAATCATCACAGAAATGCCACCCGCGGCCCAGCCCATTCCCCGCGCGATGCAAGCGAAACCAAAGCCAAAGACGATGAAGAACCCAAATAGAGATAAAAGCAATAACACAGAAACCCGAATCCAAATCATATGCAAAACTAAGCAAGCGCTCGATATGTTCCGTCCCGTTGTTCCGTGGGACTGTCTGCAGTGCGCAGACAGTCTTCAGTATGAATAAATCCAAAAGATGCCACCCGTGAGGGAAAGAGTTCATAAGTAATCATAAAGAAGGTGCAGAGGTGGAATGCACACGAGGACAACATATTCCAGTTGCTCGTGAAATCCACTCTCAACCTGTGATGGTCAAACGCAGGTACGCCGATAAGCCGAAGGAGTGCGAAACGTAGAACAACATCGCTAAGTTGTTAGACGAGATCAAGCTAGTCCGTAAGATATATCCAGTCGAAGTGAATGGTAAGCTGTCTATGTATGTATATGGCTAAATCTGGCTAAAACTGGCCAACAGTCGTGTGTCGGTGTGCACATAGTGCTAGTAGAGAAAGTCTGTAGACGTAGTAGAGGGAGAGGCGGAGGTGGAAGCAAAGATGAGGCTGCTTGGTGGATGCAGAAGAAAGCAGGCAAGGTAAGTTTGTCTGGGCATGGTGGAGAGAGAGCTGAGATGGGCGATGTCCGGTCGGTGCGACCAACCATCGCAAGCCTACTACTGGCTGAAGCCGGAGTCTTCCTCCTTTACGGGGGCGACACCATATTCCTGAACCATGCGTCTGAAGTCTCGGATTACCTTTTCAGGTACCCGGTCCCACATCAGGGACCGAGAGTAGACTTCAGAGGTAGCCTTGTTCGGAAGCTTGTGGGCGACGTTACCGCGCATCGCAGCCAGCGCCTGCTGGAGGTTGGAGGGCTGCTGCTGCTTGTAATCGACACCCGCATCATCAAAAGTCGTCAAGGAGTTGTACTGGTCGGCATTGAGAGCAAAAACCTGCTCCTGCTCCTGCTGCTTGGTCGGCAGCGCCAGCGTGTTGTGAAGCTCATCCAGGTTGGACGGTGCCGCAGCGCCGGTCATCTGAGCCATCTCGGCTCCAGTGATGGTGGTGGGCATGGGCATCGCCGACGAGGCAGCCATAGCGGCTTGGCCCTGAGCAAGCTCGGGTGGAGAGGAAGACAACACAGCCCGGAGGACGTTCGCGGACTCAGCGCGATATTCCTCCGAGAGCTGGGGCATGGAGCGAGCCGACAGCGAGGAGCTGTTGGAGGCAATGAAGGCCCCGAACAGCAGGCACATGTAAAAGGCGTTCCAGCTGAAAGGGTAGTCGCTGGTCGCAGACTTCTCCTTGTCGTTCGTGGAGACCACCAACGACGTGGAGTGTGCCGCCGACGTGGGCATCGGCTCGGCCTCCAGAGAGAGGCCGTTCACCATAGTAAAGTCCTCCCATGGACTGCTGTCCATGGTCAAGTTCTCGAAGTCCGAGAACTCGGTGGCAAGGTTCGCAGGGGCGGTTCTCGCGTGTCTCTCCAGCTTCTCGACGGTTTCCTTGAGGATGTTGTTCTTCTTTCGAAGATCAGCTGTTTCCAAGGTGTGAACCCGGATCATCTCATCCTTCTCCATATGCATCGTGTTGATGTACTGGTTGATCTCCTGCTGGGCGGCCATCCATTCGCCCTTCTCGCGAATGAGTTCAGCCTCGCGCAGTCGCATGTTCTGCAATTCCTCCTCCAGGTCGCTGATGACCTGGGTAAAGTGCTTCTTCTCCTCCTCCAATTTCTCGGTGTGGAGCTTCTTGCGCTGACGCGAATCCAAACTAGAACACAATTAGCTGATGTCATCCTGTAAGGGGGAGAATAAAGTGGGGACTTACGCAGCCTGACGGTTCCTCAGCAGTCGCTTCTGTTGTTTCAGTTCCTTAATCTCCTCCTCATTGATGGACTGGCTGATCAGCTGGTCAATGTTGCTCAGCGTCCGTTCTGCAGGAATCTCGAAGCGGGCGTTCTTCTTCCGGATCCCATCCCGGCGCATACTCAAGGGGGAGCTGTTGCGGTAGGTCGGGCTCTTGGTTGGCCGCGACATCGCATCAGGCATATCCGTCGCAGCTGGCATCCACCCCTGACTGGACTGTGGGGACATAGCCACAGCGGCAGGGTGCGCGAAAGCCATGCTGGGGCGGTATGACATGGAGGGGATGTTGATGGTGTTGACAGGGCCGACGGCACCGCCCGCGAAGGGGGCTGACGAAGCGTGATCCAGCTCGGAGGGAAAGTGTTCGTACATGGCGGTAGGAGTGCAGGAGCCCGATTCCTTTGCCAGCTGCCAGGAAGCCTGGTGGCTGTATGCTGCGGATGGATGAGCGCCGTCTACCCGCATGAAAGGATTGGGGGCGGTTTCAAAGAAAGCGTGGCCGACTTGAGAGTTGTGGCGGGACTGTGTGCTGGAGACGGAGTGGGAGAAATCGGACCAGACGGAATCTCGATGCGCAAATGCATCGGGTGCATGATCATATGAGGTTCTCCGGTGGTCGGCAACAGTGGCAGGCAGTTCGGGGGAAGTAGAATCGAGGATCTTATCATCCAGTACACTCATCTCGTCTTCTTCTGAATATGAGGGTTTGGCATCCAATGTGGAGGGGGATTGTTGGTAGAAGTCAAAGGATGGTTGAGAATATCTTGCCATAACTGTGAATGTGTATATGACGAAAGTGAAGGTGAAAAAAGGGTGGCTTTGCTCAAGGAAAAGCCCTGGTTGCTTGTAGAGCAGTCAAGAGGCGGTGTGTAAAATGGATGTACGGGAAAAAAACAGGTCTGGAAGAGGTGCGGGGTTGGAGGTGGTTGGTGGGAGGAGAAGACCAAGGCGTTCAGAGAGGAGGGATTGAGTAGAATGCGTGAGGAGGATGAACGAGAGGGAAGTTCTCGAAAAGTCCCAAGGGAGGTTTTAAAAGAAGATAAGGTGGGAAGAGACGTAGATCGATCGGTGGTGGTCAAGGTGTAGAGGACTAGCGAAGTGGAGGCAGAAGAGGAGCAGGGGGAGGCACGGAAGAAGTATGATTGAGGAGGGAGGGGGGTGTAAAAATATAGAGGTCTCTTGTGATCAAACAGAAACCTCTCCCGAAGAGAGTTTGATGTTCAGTATATTGTTGATTGTGATGGAGGACAAGAGCAAGTGAAGCGGGAGGGGGAGTCCATATATCCTTCGCGGGCTGAATCAGGAAACATGCGATGAGGGAGTCCCTGACCCAGATCAGAATAGTAAGACTCTAGCATGAGAGAATAAAAAAAAATAAATCAGAAACCAAAATAAAAATAATAAGAAGAATAATATTAGCGATAAAATTAAATGCGAATAAAAATAAAAATAACTAGTAACCCTCACTAGAATCCTACCCATACTGGCTCTGGGACCTGACCCATACCTACAAACCAACAGCGGCAACCATGGGGAGAACAAAAAACGAGACTAAAAAAAAAAAAAAGAAGCCCAAGAGAAAACCAAAAATCCCACCTAAAATCACGGCCTGCTCCATCGGCCCTAACAAAGTCGCAGGTAAACACAGACCCATCGCTCGCTCGCTCACTAATCGCCGCTCCCCCCAAACATCAGAGCATCCGGCGGTCAGCGGAAAAGTCAAAAGACGAGGCGACATTTCTTACTGCTCCCGAGATTAACGAGACGTGATCATTGGATGCTTCGTTGGGCAGACGTGCAGCTAGCAGGGGAACCTTTGGGACCAGAAGGTGAGGATGAATAATCATCGTTCCTGGCTGGTTACTCGCCCAGTGCTTTTGCCAGAGACGAATCAGGATCTTGACGCTTCTTGTGTACCCTGGAGCCTGCCCTTCTCCGGTGCCCTGGGTTGGTAACATTGAGGTTATTCAGATGGCCAAAGTAGGTACTTGCTGCCCTGGGACATTCGGCCCCGATCGCCATCAGGCCGTACCTCACCACCCTCCATCCAGTCCAGTCGTACTCCGTAGTAAGTACTACCACCTCCTCCGCCTAGCCGTAGATACCTTCTTAGTAGACTTTCGCCAGACGCGACTCATACATGGTGCAGGATGATAGATGATAGGCCGGGCGATTGGTGGTTTGTGAGTGGTAGGATCGTCCCAACCGTCGCATAATTAGAATAATCAACCCTAACCGCCAAACCTAACCAACAATATCGACAAAGCTCATCATAACGGCGGCTATGCCGTTGCCTGCCACAACCTTCTTTGGCGACCAACACCGACCGACTCCCCCCTAAGGATCGGAGGAAGGTCTCAACTGAGACTTTGCTTTTCGTCGATACTACCCTTCCCAGTGCCGGGCCCGGTGGATGAAGGGAACTACTGAGTACTAGGGTCCCTCAGTTCCAAGTCCCGGTGGGTGCTGAGTGGTTGGTATCGGAACCATGGTCATTACCGGTGGGGCCACAAATCGGTGATCGAGAGCCTATCGAACCCACCATCCTGACAGTACGACCCCTCTATCCGATACCGTCGAAACAATGGCCTCCCTCTCTCGACCTTGTGTCTCGCGCTCTTCGCCAGTCGCCCATCCGCAGCAGCGCCCGAACCCAGGCATGGTTCCTCCTCATCACACCGGGAAAGCAGAACCATTGGTACCTGGTCCGGCACACTGGGTTTCAAGCAGACCGCCTACCAGTGACCTCCCCCTCCCCTCCTCAGGTTCGGGATGGATGTACGTACATATGTAGGTGGGTAGGTACCTGAACGGCTCATCCCACCAGGCCCTGGGGCTCTTGGCCGTCAGTTCTCGCGATGATGCCCAAAGAGGAGATTGTCTGTGCGCTCAGTCAGTGTGCATCCATCCCATGATCGCCTCCTGGGATAGGGCGAGTCGCGGGTTACAGGACGATACGATCGATACCGCAGGCGACGAGGGCATGGCTCCAGGCTCAGCCAGAAAACCCCCGAAAAGAGTGGGAGGGGCCCTGATCAGATGGACAGGATGTCATACAATACGTACGGACTCCCGGTTGTACCCTAAGGACTTGGAAGCGTATCGCCCTCCGCCCGGCATGGCCAATCAATCGCGCGCCAGGGTGACATCCTGATGGGCTGAGAGGAATCTATTTCCATCATGATCCTCACAGTAGGGGTGTTTCTCGCCAGAGCGCTGGAAGGGCTTGGGGCTGGATCAGGCTGCCAAAAAAAGTACGGAGTGTTTCTGCTAAGGTCGGCTTCAGAGAGAATGATCCGATGGGCTGGCATTCCATCCTCCTTCGACGCCTTGTTGTGATGATTCTTACTCATGGTTGCTATGATATGCCTGTGATTGTTTAGGCTGGTAGTAGTATGTTTGCTGCCATTCATATCACCTTCGTCTCCCGACTTCCTGTTGGTGGTCGCCAGTCGTAGACAGAGAATTTGGAGAATGAATGATAGATAATTCATGTCTGGTACCGTTAGGGCCGGCCCGTAGAAGAGATCCAGTGATCCATGATCCAGTGATCCACCAGGGATGGATACACAATCCTAGATAGTCGATTGGGGGGGGCACCACGAAACTTCGAAAGGGCCCTTTTGCCGTTTCGGTTAGCCTGGGCTGCCTGCGCGGCCCTCATCGGCGCATCGCATGCACACCCGTTCTGTTGCGACACCCGCCCGCCCGTGCTTCGACCAATTCCCGCCATGACAGGAATCCCGCGGCAGCTGCACCAGATGCAGCAGAGCACAGACAGATCAGATTTCATCTTGGCCCAGCCCCGAGGCAGCATGCTCCCTGCTGGTTTGCTGATCAAATTCTACAGTAATTTGCTGATACCGGGCTTTTTTTTTTAATCTTTTTTTTCTTCTTGAGTGGTTGTGCCAGCCTCTAAGCAAGAAGAAGCAAGTCACTCGTAGTCCCGCAGGTCAGCCAGGTTAATTGCCTCTTTCGGCATAAGCACCACCCGACTGGAGCTTAATCCACTTTTGACGGTTCACCTGCATTCCATCTTCACTCATGGCAGTTGATATCCAGTATCCACCTTAGGTAACCTTCTTACCTAACCTCTGACCTAACCATCACAAGCGCGAGTTGGTCAGCGCAAACTTAATGTGTGGTAATTTCCCCTTTGGGAAAGAGAATGGATAATTAGTGGGCTTCATCCCGTCTCTGGAGTCTGGAGGGGGGCACCGGACCCAGTCATCATTATTTCTATCACCACCACCAGGGCATTCGTCATACGCGGATGACTACTCCGTAGTACTCCTCTCACTAAGAGTTAAGTCCCAGGATGGCTCGACGAAACACCGGTAATTAGCAGCAGGTAAGGCATCAGTGCTTTCCTGCGGGGAATCAACGATGTCATTGCATCTCGCTCGGATCCTCCTGAGCACGGAAGCACGCACGATCTGGGTTCTCATGCAGCGACAAGGCGAGTTTGGGTTGAAGCATGGCCAAGGAAGCGGTCGACCTATCTCCGCCTAGCCTGGCGAGAAGCTCGAGCTCGAGGGAGCTGTGAGGCTGTTGTGGTTCTGCAGATAGGGAAGGTTGCTTGAGGTCGGCCCATCGATGATGAGGGGCATACCTTAGTTCGTTCATGGGTGAGTACCCAAGTCGGCCAGTAGGATTAGTTACTCGCATGGCTTGGTAGTTGAGGAATGCCTCTCTACCTCTTGCCTGTTGCCATATGGTGTTTCGAACTAAGCAGGCACATGTTGATCATTCCGCGCCGGATTGTACGCGATAGCAACTAAGCATCGTTTTCCTCTTCGTCTCTGATAGGCTTGATGGGGTGACGCTACATCGTACCTAGTGCCATCCTCAGCACTAGGTAAGTAATATGTACTATCATAGCACTGTTGGGGTAATAGTAAGAGCCTGTCTCCAGTGTCCTGAGAATAGTGAGGATTGACGTTCCCGAGAAATCTCGCGCCAATTCGGCCGATAACCACCAACCGCGCCTTCCCGGCACAAAACCTGCCTTCGTTGAGAAGCGGCACCTCAGCATCACCATTTTTTTCCCCAACGTGTCATGGCTCCAGTGCGCAAAGCATCCATTGTTCCGGAGTCCGGAGGTGAAGACAATGCTGCGATCCACCGCGGCCATGAGGCACAGGAACAGCATGCACCCGGACAGAAGTAGAAGGTTCCCTGGGTTCTTCGGCCAGTCGCTTACCGCCAACTGCCAGCTATCGATAAGATGAAACAGACCAGAAGAATCCAGCGACCCACCGAGTGTGCGGCAACCCTCGGCAAGCTTGGACGCCGGACTTGGGAGTTGGTAGGTGCGTAGAATAGCTTCCCTGGCCCAGTGCGAGCGGAGTGTGACTCACTCTCTCCGGCCCTTTCATTCGGGTTTCTGGAAGCCTTGCCGTCTAGTTGATTTCCTAACTGGGAAGCATCCGTGCATCCCATCCATGATGACCTGGTGTTTCAGAATATCCTCGACGACCATTGCGGGAGTATGTGTACTGATGTCATGGGCTGGTAGACCCCATCTTTACGCACTGTTGGTGCGGGTTGGTGTCTAGTGCTTAGTTCCTACTAACTATGGACAAAGTTGAGTGATCGAGCGAGCGTAGTGTCGGAGTCGAGTTGATGCCACGTTTCACAGGTAGCCATTCGACAATAGTACAGTACAGTCGAGGACAGGCAGGTATCGAGCACCCTGCACAATCACTGGTGCCAGTCCCTTGCCCCGGTTCGCAGGGCAAGCACCCCAATAATCAGTCGTAAGCAAGTCATATCCAGAGTCGCACGCAGAGTCAGTCGAGTTACCCGCTATTCGCGACAATCGCGTGAAACCGCAGAAACAGGAATTGTCAAAAGCAATTAGCTTGCCCTACATATGCTGCTGCTGCTACTGCAATGCATGAACTTGTCCGTGTTCAGATCATCTCATGCACCCAGTGAAGGAGCCGAATGTCGATTGCATTTGATATCCGTACACAGCAAATCAGCAGCGGACAACAAACTCAAGGAACCAAACCCAATCGGATAGGAGCCAAGGTCTTGAAACAATGCCAGGACAGTCCCTTGAGGCGAAAGGCGAATCCTGGCCTGGATTTGGAATTGCAGCAGGCGGCGAACCTGTACGGGGAGGTGCGGTCGGGCGGGTGGGTATGGACCTGACCGTTATTCAACCCGGGGTCCTGGATAGGACAGGCAGGACAGGCCGGGGGATGGTGGTCAGCGACACGTGAATGCAGCCGACGAGTCCGAATCTGATTCCTCAGTCGAATTTGCCATCGGAGAGGGCCATCTCGGACCTGCCGTGACTGGCACTGTTCCGGGTAATTGCTCGTCTGCGATGACGATGCCCAGTGACCATTCTGGCGGTGTACACCAGCCCAGGGTCCAATTGAAAGGGCGAGATGCGACCGGTGGAGTGGTGGTGCTACCGAAGGGAAATTAGGACTCGCCTCCTGGCGAAGAATCAGCGCATTCGTGTTCCTAACGATGGCTGTCAGCATGGATGGATCGAGGCGATTTTTTGGCTCTTGCAGAGTTGCAGGGGGCTGGATGGGACGTCCTGGTGGCTCTACCAGAGGCACCCTCACCACTGAACCAGAAGCCAATTACTTACGGGCGATCGCCGTCGATAGACTTAGCCGGCGAGGACGCATTGTCATGCTCATAATTAAGGGCATTCCCGAGTCAGTGGGCCGGTCATTCATTCTCGAAGATTGGCTTTCTCGGACTCAGTTGCATGATGGTATTGTTGCCCAACGGGCTGCTGATCGTATAGATAAATTTAGTTCGGATTACGAGGACGATAGCAAAGGCCGAAGTGAGGTGACAAATGACTTGCAGTGGGAGGGAAGAAGTAGGATAGGATAGTAAGAATAGAATCCAACCTCACTACGGAGTACGGAGTACTGGTAAGGTACTTGGCTCCCGAGTACTACCAGTCAGTAGGAAAGGGAAGGAGCGGGCAGCAAGAAGCCCCGAGGTCACGTTCCCTCCCGGCCTGATCGACCACCACCCGCCAATCAGCGTCGCGCTGGCGACCAAAGGAACAAAAAAGCCCTGGATCTGTACTCCCTCCATTCTCCAAGATTCCGATACTACACAGTACATTGAGGGACAAAAGAAATTAACATAGTGGGCCTCGTCGACCATTCTCGAAGACTCTGCCTATCGGAACCCACCTGCGTCTTCCCCAGAAAGCTAAACGAGGGGAACCTCATCGGGTAGATGAAATATCGGTGTTGGAAGGAATGGCGGTCATTGGGCGATTCCCCTCCTGTTGGGAGACCCGAACCAATGGCGGTGATGCTTGTCATCAGGCACAGACTGCACCGGTCCGGGATCTGATCGCCTTCGTCGCCTTTCTTTTTTTTTCTTCACTCCTCGCCCGCAAATCCCCCCTGTGCCTCCCCGTGCATACGGCGGTGGCATGTGGCGGTAGGTCGCTAGGACCCCGGGACCACATCGTGCCACCGATGTCCCGAGAAGTATTTCCAGGTCCCTGTCGGTACGTAGTGATGTAGGTGCTTACATATGTGCATGTATGTAGCATGTATGTCGTTAGGCGGTTTGATGATAGGTGCCATGGCAGCGGCGGCCAGGTAGAGCAGCCGTCCACGAGGTGATCCCGACTAACAAACCTGAAACAACCCCAGGACAGGTGTTTCAACTCGACTTGCCTACAGCCAGCATCGACGTCCGCGTCCGCATCCGCATCCGCACGGTTCAAGTCCTGGCGGGTGTCGCGTCTCCTCTGCCGGCCCTGATCGCTCCAACCGGACAAAGAACGGCCGTGCCATTCCGGAACACGCGGTAAGTAGGTTGGGTTAGGTAGAAAGGGAAAAAGCAGCGTGGCTCGCCTTGGTCCATGCGAACCATATGGGTAAAGCAGCCATTGACAGGGCCAGGATCCCTCAGTGCACCAGCCAGAGGCCAGGTACACTCCCGTAGCTGGTTATCTTCACCGTTAGTCACTGGGCTAGGAAGCTAGCTTGCATTGCATTGCATCGGACGCGGATCCATGATGTGGGGGTCGCCGGCTTTGATCGCCTCCGACCTGACTTCTTGTCAACCTGGGGGTATGACTCACACGCTTGTGTCGGGGCTGCCATGTGAGGACGGGTACTGCCTGACGCCCCGGGCTGACCTGGAGAGCACGTGTGGCTGGAGGTCAGTAGTAAAAGTTAGCAGAAGAGTACATGCTGGTAGGCAACCCCCCAAAGAAGAAAAAAGAAAACAAAGTAATTATCATCTCCATTGCTATGCTACCTATGGCTCGTCTCCTCCAGACACGATGTCATGTAGCGCTACAGTATCAGGCGTCCTCCCTAACCAAACCGTAGGGAAGATCCAATCTCATCAAAGAAATCCATAAGACAAACCGGACACGGGTGGGAACATGCTGAATGCGTATGGGTATCTTCATCTGCGACTGGGACACGACAGTTCGTAAGGCATAAAAGTTTCAAAGCAGGTATCAATGCGGCCACAGAGTGGACTCGGTCCCTCTCATTTTCTTTGTTTTTCTGTTCTTTTCTTTCTTTGTCTCCTAACCATTTTCTGGGTCCTGTTCTTCCTGGGTGATCCGTAGAATCCAAGCCAAGTTTCAATTACGGACTGCTGCTGCGTTAGTAGGTATGTGCAGTTAGAGGCGGATAAAGTCCTTTTGCTGCGACACCTCGCCAGTATCAGACTTGCCCGCGATGAGTTCGGGCTCATCCTCATCAAGATCATCCGAATCAACGTCATCCGTGTCGATTTCATCGTATTCTTCTTCCTCACTGGATGCATCAGATTCCTCCGCATGGATCATGACATCAGTCCTAGAAGCTGCGTTTTTTCGGATCTGCCCAGCCCGATCGACATGGGGCAGGCGGCAGCGCTTCTTGTTGCAAACGCCGTCGTTTGCGTAGTCTGGGCACTCGTGAACGTGGCGTTCGTCGCATTCGGCACCTTTCTCGCAGTATCCTAAAACCGCAAAATCTCTGCACACAGGAGCGCCCGGTGTCACGCGAACATGGGTATAGCGACACTCTGGATTGGAGCAGCGCCCCCGAAGGAAATGCACACACGCAGGGGATCTGTGTGGCGAGGGTTCATGGGACAAATCACAACTTATACCTGCATTGCACTGACCAGTCTGAAGGAAGTCTTTGCACATGGCGACTTTGTTCGGGTCGTGGGTATAGGGGCACGTTGGTCCTTTGTAGCAGCTGCCTAATCGTTTCAAGACTCCGATCAGCACGGTCCTACCAAAGATGAAACAGGAATGTAAAAGAAAAAGAAAGGGCGACTCGGGGTCGAGCGTAGGGAAAGCATTGGTACCCGTCGTATTGAATCGCTGGCAAAGCGCGTCTTTCTTCTTAACTGCCATTGGTTTTCTGTAGACAACGTCAGCTTACAACCCCGCCAAGTGGACAAGACAACCGTCACCTCTTCGATGTCACAGCTCCTAAGCGGTGGAGGTTTCCGTTCTTGCTTCGGACAAACGCAACACCTGCCACCGTCACTCTCTTCGGGGTGGCGTTGGCAGTATTCGGATCGTCTACAACCGGTAAGCTGGTTCGCTTGACCAGAGCGTCCTGAGCGCACGCACCAGAAACCCGAATCAACTTGCTGCCTCCGCGCGACACCCGAAACGGGATGTCGTTGACGAAAACTTGAAACTCTGCCGAGGGCTCCGCAGTGGTAGACACCTGAGGAGCCGCGAAGCCCGCCGAGTACGTTCTGCCAACACCCTGCGCGTAATTCAGAACTCTAGCCTGCTCAACTTGTGCTCTCTTGTGCGCCTTGGCCTGGCGGCTCTCCTCTATCGCCTTCGTCCTAGCCTGGGCTTCTTTGTCGTATATCGATGTATTGATGAGCTGCATGTGGCGATCGTGCTTCACAACCCATTCATTCGGGGTTGCCGATCGCGCCTCACCATCTGTATCCGTCATTGTGCCCGCAGGAGTATTCGATCCTGGGGTCCCTGATGATGTTGTATTGTTGAGAATGAGGGTACGGTGGCGGTGGGGAGCTACATGACGTCCTCGCGCGTAAGGTCGGCCGCGATACGGCGCCCAGCCACGGCCTCGATGAGGAACATGTCGTGATACGTGTTGGCCCGAGGGGATTTCACTACTATATGGAGTTTCTGACTGTGAGCGCTGAGTTTTGTGCCTATTGATCTGGCCTGGGTGAGGTTAGCAGCTGCGCGCGGTTACAGAAAGCCAGTATGGGCGCCTACCAGCAAGCTGGCTGATCTTGGCCATCAGATCCTGGTCTTCTGTCATCCTGGCCTATTAAATGAATTGTCAACCACGTTAGCAAGTCTTTCCACAAAGAGTTTCTTGTCTATACTGGGTGGTTGACTGAATATCGCTGCTGAGGTAGGAGATCTTTCGTGTTGATGCGGAAGCGGGCGACGAAATGACGAACGCGGTGTGTGGCGGCAGATGTCCATCACGTGAGTGCCCGCGTTGCACATGGTGTCATTGACCCGCTTGTCTCCAGACTAATGACTATCTAGATATGGGATGGTATCGGAGCAAAAGAAAAAATGGTTCAGCAACTGGAGCCTCCCAGCTCGATCGCATTGGTTTGATCATATGTGTGGTAGATGGTGGGCTTGATAGTCATCTAAGCCCTCATGAATAAATCTAAAGCAACCTTTATCAAATCACCCAAGAAACTCCCAAAAGAAACGCCATGGTCCTTATGCTACATCGATCCCGTGCGTTTTAGAGAGCGTTCTCGAATTGTGTGTCGTCATTATCTGTAACCATGCCGGAAGGCGTAGCCTCCTCATCAGAAGCGTCATCGAAGTTGTAGTCGAGTCCCGGGGCAAGTTCATCTTTGGCGTCGCTGTACATCGCATTCGAGTAGTTGCTCTCCCTGGCCTCGGGCTTTAACTCCCAGGTCATAGCAAAGTCACCGGCTTTAACCAAGTGCGCAATCATTTCCAATGTTTGCTTAAGATAGGCCTCTGGCTGTCGCAGTCTCGCCTTGAGAGTCTTAAACGGCCAGTACTTGTATTCTCGGAAGCACTGGTAAATAAGATCCAGCAGCTCGTTCTGAGGCATACGCGTAGTCTTGTTCTCCTGAGCCTTGGGCTTGAGGGGTCTTGTTGCTTGCTGGACAGGGTGTTAGTAATGGGACAACCAGAGATCAGGGCAAATGGAACACTCACCACAAATGCACCCTTCTCGCCGGGCAGTGCATTCCGCGGTTGGAGCAGCTTGCCCGGGATCTTATCGATAAAGACGGTCTCGCGCTTCGGTTTGAGCGCCTCCAGAGCCTTCTTCTCCGATAGTCGCCGGAATTCCTCGTTCTCGACCGGAAGGCAGTTGAACTCTTCACCCACACTGCCTACCAAAGCCGTTTGTTCTGTCGCCATGTGAGCAGAAATCCATTTGCCGTAGAATCACAGCACATACTAGGCACAGTCTTCCTCACGTAGGGCTCCCATTTCTTCTTGCGCTCCTTTTTCTTCATTTCCCGCTTCATCGACTCGTAGAGTGCCGAACGCGCCTCCCCAAAGACCACCATCCGGTTCTCATGTCCTGGAATGTCTCGCTCGGTGAAAAGGTACGTATTTTGCGTCAAGTGTGAAACGTTCTCCGCAGTTATCGTCTGCCGTTGCAATAGATAGTCCTTGGGGATTTCGCGATTATCGTCGCGCTCGTTTAGGCGCAGACTGACCTGTAAGAGGTCACAAGTGTTAGTCCGTGCGTAACACCAGCCAAACTCCTCCCTGGACAAAAGCCACCGGACTCAGGGCCTACCCGTTTAATATCATTTGGTGTGCCCTCAATCCTCATTGTTCCGATTTGAATCTCTTCATCGTCGTCGCCGCCGGTGTTCGACAGATGCGACCAATGCTCCCATAGCGACCGGGGAATCCGCGAGAGCCACACGTTCTGATTCGCAGCGGAGAAATCTAGATCTCCCGCATCTTCGTACAAGTCCTCGTCGTCAATATCGGCGAGTACGGCATCTTTGCTATCGGGATCTTGTTTGATGTATGGGTCGGACTTGATGTATGGCGACTGAGCATCCGGATCCTGCTTGACTTGGGGGACCATTGCGGCACACAGCCTGAAACTGGGGCAAAAAGGGCAAAAGAGTAATCCGACGTGCTGAGGATAGCGAAGCGACCGTAACCAAGACAAAAATGAGTGACGAAGCAACGATTTCGATGGTCGAGAGAAAAGTCGTCCGTGACGTACGTGATGTTGAAGCTTCGAGTGGTAAGATGCGTCGCTGTGAGCAAGAAAGCCGCCGCTCGAGCGGGTCGCAAAGGCGGTGGCGGCACCTTTCGGTCCTCCGAATGGAGCCGCCGACAATCGCATTCATCTGCTGGCTCTATGCGGTGTCTCAGAACGATATCCTAGACAGCTTGGTTCCTCTAGCTCCATGCTTAGGAGCTGTAGAAAGGAATAAGATTCGTTCCTTCAGTTGCATCAGGCGAGTTCGTATTCCACGCATTGGTCATGTAAGCTGCAACGGCATCTCCAGAGCTGCAAGCTCCATCCATAGAATAATCCCCCCTTGAGGGATGGTATTCAAGACATCGTGTCAGTTAGCCTTTAAAGTTGAAGTGTAGTATTCCCAGGGGATTAGCCAAACCCATAGGGACGGAGTATATAACTTTGACTTAGTGCTTGTGGATGGTTGGAGGCACTTTGTACTGTCCTTATCGATAAGCCCCCCAGCTTCACTTCTCGACCGTCCGCTGTTCCTGACGTACCCAACCTCATCTTCAACCCCTCTGTCCATCAAATAACCCCGCGACGATCACGAGTACCTACCAATCTCCAACGACCTATCAGCATCACTCTCACCACCAGAAACCTTTCATCTCAGTCACCCACCCATGCCCTCCCAGAAAATCACCTCCGCCCTCGCGGAGATCGAATCCTCCGCAAACCCCCAAAACAAACTCCAACTCTACAATGACCTCCTCAGCGACATCGTGGCCACCTCCACAGAACCCCAAATCTCCCAAGACTTAATCTACTTCCTCGACTCCGTCCTCAGCGAAGACATCAGCATTGTCGCCGCCCGCCCCATCCTCGACTCCTTCATCACCGTCCTCCGCAAACTCACCCAAGAAACCCAAATCAGCGTCGGCCAACATGCCGTCACCCTCCTCCAATCTCGCTCGACCTCCGTCGAAGAACAAGATGCCCAAATCCGCGAGCTTCTCGCAGACGCCTACGAAGCCGAAGGCCAGTACACCGACGCCGCCAGAGCCCTTCAGGGCATCCACATTGATAGTTCGCAGCGGCTGGTTTCCGACGCAGCCAAGGTGCGACTGTGGATTCGGATCGTGAGATACTACCTGGAGGAGGATGATACGACGAGTGCGGAGGCTTTTCTGAACCGTATTAAGAACTTGCCTAGCAAGATTGAAGATCACGAGTTGAAGTTGCATTTCAAGTTATCGCAGGCTCGGATCCTCGATGCTCGTCGACGGTTCCTGGATGCGAGCCAGGAGTACTTCAATGTTAGTCTTGCGGCAGGAGTGGATGAAATGGATCGGTTGCAGGCCTTGGCGGCTGCTATTCGGTGCGCGGTCCTCGCTCCTGCGGGCCCCCAGCGGTCGCGCATTCTAGCCACCCTGTATAAGGATGATCGGTCGACGTCCGTGGATGAATTTGCTATTCTAGAGAAGATGTTCCTTGATCGTTTGCTGGACCCGGAGGAGGTGGCTGCGTTTGCTCAGCGGTTGGCCCCGCATCAACTGGCGGTGACGGGCGATGGCACCACCGTGCTGGATAAGGCGGTCGTCGAGCATAACCTTGTTGCAGCGAGTAAGCTCTACGAGAATATTACGACGGATGCGTTGGGGGCGATCCTGGGACTCAAAGGGAGTGGGGAGTTTACGGCGGGGGAGAAGGCGGAGGATTATGCGGCGAGGATGGTCGAGCAGGGAAGATTGAAGGGCAGTATTGACCAGATCGCGGGGGTCATCTATTTCGATTCTGGTAATGCTGCTACGGGCCAGCATATCCGGCAGTGGGATGCTGGAGTGCAGGGTTTGGCAGAGGATGTGGAACGAGTAGCAACTAGCATTACGAATACGTTTCCGGTAAGTATACCTCGATATTTTTCTCGTTCATGATAAGCTAACTTTTCTCTAGGACTTTGCAGCTGGTCAGGCGGCAGTGCACTGAGATGCAAGTTCAATAGACATGGAATCGGATATAGCTTTTATCGACAGCTTTTGTTTCCAAGCGTATGGACAATGATATGCACGGATTGCATGATTCTTAGATCATGATCGTCAGCGATGATCCTTTCATCTTGCATCTGGTTCACGCATGCGAACTTAGACAACCCAGGTGTTGTAAGCGAGGCTGAGGAAATAAATGTCGATACCCAGAATTGACTCTAGAACCATGGACGCACCCCCACCTGTATACCAGGTTCCCGAGGGGCTCCACATCGCTCCTGTGATGTATGATGTACGCTGTATGCCGTATCCTGTATGCAGAGCAATCTCATGTGCCGTGTCATGTAGCACAATCAAGACTGCCCAGTCCAGCATACCGTAACACTGCTCTCGAAGCCAGTACTGCATCCTGCACCCTGTCATGCAAGTCGGTGGCATCGCATCATGCCAGATGCATCCCACTACTACTCCGGTAGTAAGTGGGACGTTCAGCTCGAGATTATCATTTTCTTTCTGTTAATGCATAAGCCGGAAGCCTGTCCTCCGAACTCTCATTCATGCTGATCGTGAGTTGAACACAGCACACACAGCATCCACCCATTCACACATCAATCTGCGACAACTTATCCTGCCGAATATCAATATCCGTCCTGACCGTAATGTCCAACCAACTCGTTTCCGTCTTCGCACTCGACGACTGCGCCCTATCCCTTGAGGCAATACTACCCCTGGCCGCGAACCCCTCCTCCATGCGAATATATTCATCTTCCACGGCGGGGGACTTGCGACCCAAATGCGAGGTACTCACGTCCGTGGTACCGGAATAGGGTGCCCCGTTTCTGTTAGGATATTGATATTTCTTATTCGTGTGGTGGTGGCTGGGGAGTTTGAGTCTCGGGAATAAGCCGCGGATGGTGGGTAGACAGGAGCAGATGAGGCCGATGGAGGGCTCGATGTGGGTCCAGAGGGTAGCTTGGTAGACGGTGTAGGTCATGTCGTCGGCGTCGATCCAGAAGAGGACGACGACGCGGAAGATACTGGCGAAGCAGACGAAGGCGGCGAGAGCAAAGACGCCGTTCAGGGCGAGCTTCTCTTGCCAGGTTCGGTGGAGGTTCCAGATCATGGGGAGGGGGAGGGCCAGGATCACGAAGTCCATGATTACGTTGAAGATTTGGTTGACCACGATGAGTTTGTAGTCGTCCAAGCACTGGCCCGGGACGTTGGGGTCCCAGTAGGCGTTGAGGGGGCGGCATTGGAGTGCGCAAGCGAGGAAGATGACGGCGCCCCAGAGGATGATTAGGGCGTTGATGGCGAAGGAGGTGCGTTGGAAGGTGGGGACGGTGAATACTCGGCGGTAGAAGCAGATGATGGAGACTTTGATGGTGGGGCCGATGAGGAAGTAGGTGAATTGGTTGGAGAGGAAGATCTGGGGGATTGGTGAGTTGGGTTAGTGAGGGGTCAGAGGGGTGGCATGGTAAGGGGGCTGGATTACTTTGTAGAAGTTGGTCATTGTCTCATTGCTGAGGTTCTTTTGGTGGAAGCCGTTGCCTCCGATTGTGACCCCTGGAGTGGTGGTTAGTTGGTGAGGCTGCAGAGGGAGTGAAGTTTGCGGGATACTCACAGAGAGACAGCTCGATCAGCATGGCGATTAGAAGAAGCATGCAGGCAAAGCAGAGGTAGTCGTCCATGCCAAAGTGCACTTTGCGTTTGATTCGAGCGACGATGCGTAGAATGACTGATAATAACGAGAGACCGACCAGCACCGAAACGATCGCTATCATTTCAGCTCCTCTCGAGGTGGGCGCCATATTGAGATTTTTATTACTGATATCACTTTCAAACAGGATCAACGTGAATGGAAATGAACAGTTGGACGGTAGTGAGGAGCTGGGCTTCTTGTGATCACGCCCTCGTTCGATAGACTACATACAAGGGTTGCAGTCCATCTGTAAAGGCACAAATTGATAGTCTCGTAGTGGAGGTGGAAATCAAGATGACAAAGATGTGGATTCAGTAAGAGATATCAAGCTGCATGGGCTAGACAGCTGGAGAAGAGAATTATGGGGAAGCAGGATTCGAGGCGAAGTTCATTCAATATGTACCGAGCAACCGAGCCCGTGAATATTCTATCATATGGGAGACAGTGTCTCGAATCCGTATCAGCATATTCGAGGTATTACTGGATGAGGAGCAGAGGACCCCCATTCCACTAGCTTAAAGTCAAGCATTCTCATTTGCAGGTCCGATCCTGTCTGTGCAATCCACAAGTTGAGGAGTTAGGGCATATGAAACGCACTGGAGACTCACGCACCAATGCGCGGCCATGATGTCCGTGACGTATGAAGCAGCATGTGGACCTGGCCGACCAAGAATAGCAAGCAGACGCATTCTCTTTCCTTAGTCGAAGTGTCCACATTGTACCCACCCTCAGACTAAGCAAACAGAGGCTCGTGGCAGGAAATGTCCCATCGTTGACCTGCATCCAGCAATGGATATTGAACTGGCTCGCACAGGGGGGCCCTTTTAGTGGCAGAGGAATGATCTGCCACTGCGTTTCAACCTCGGAGAACCAGGATCGTCAGCCCTAGCATAGTATCAAAGAAGGTGTCGCCTCAACTCATCTATCAGACTGTTGCTTGCTCGCATGATCGAATCTCAAATCCACATCTCTAGAACTATGGGTCTAATCGCATCAGTTGTGGCAAGCATACACGGCTCACGCGGATAGCAGCAGCCTGTTTCACTTTCGTTCCCGCTGATCCTCGGCTGTTAAGATCCCACGGGTTCGAGATACTCTAACACTCTCACATATCAAACCAACTGACCCTCGCAGCTCTTCAAAATCAGACTCGGAGCCGCTGGGATTGCAATGCACATTGCCGAAAACCGACAGGAGTATCTACCCTCGATATTGTGTGGGCGATTCAATGACGACATCAGATCCGACAATAAACCCGAGCTTGTCTGTACGCAGTACGGACTATCATTCTATGTGATCTTCCAGACGCGGATCAAGCTGTGGCCACGGGACGGTGGAGTCCGGGGTGGGTATAGAAGGAGTTGAACGGAACCCCGACATCAAACCGAGTGCCATCAGCTGCGTGCCCCTTGAATCAGGAGATCCTTGGTTTCAGAGATTCTTCAGACCATAATCTTCGTAACAGAAAATCAGGGAAATGTTTATTTCCGCAATTCATCAGAAGATTTTTCTCTCATAATCAGCCATGGTGATCCAGCTGCTCCACCACACGGGTGGATATTTTTTTTCGTGATGTTTGCACTACAAAGCAGGCACTGGCACAGCGGTCATGGGCCCAGAAGTATCAGTTCCAGCCAGTGGGCTAGATAGCATGATCTTCGACGACTTTCATTCGGCTTCTCTTTTGGTTTCTCCTTTCGTTCCACGTCTTGAGGCCGAGAGTGCCCTATTACCCCCCAGGGCTCCGTAGCCGAACCGTGGCTCGCTCCCCTGATCGACAGCCGTCGGTACCGAAGAGGGCCGTGAGGGTACGTGGAAGGCAACAGTGCCGGTCATGCGAAACCGCCTTCCAAAATTTCGGGTCAATCAGCAGTCAGCACATGGCTTGAGGTGGTCAAAGTTGCGGTTATGGGATAGGATCCTCAATAGTCTGTTAAGGCTGGGTGGCGGTTGTCCTAATCCAGCAGCATGCTGATATGCACAATTGGTACCATCTTATCGAATGCATCTATAATAATTTGTGTACGGTAGATATCAGTATGTCACCGGAGTATCTGAGAAAATCTTCATTTGACTGGGGATAGGAGTACGCCCCTGTCCAAGTTTGCGTCCCCGTTCAACCATGTGCCTAGCGGTACACTCGATCTAGCGAGTTTCATTTTGGTAATGCATGGCCTGAGTTTGGAACCAATGCTGTGACCTGGACTTTTGAATAGTCGCGACAAATGTGCACTGCAGGTGGGCGGGGATGGAGTAGCCACCTTTCATTGTGCTCCTGCTGAAAGAAGACCCGCCATTCCCGCCGAGTGGGAGGTGCGGGGGGGGGCATGTTTGGTTTGTATAGTAGGCTTGGTTTGTGTAATCCATTGCCTGAACCGTCCAACCCCCAAGTCCACGCACTCCCTATTAATGCCAATGAATATCCCCTGGTGGGATGCCCCTCTCGCCTTGGGGTTTTCTATCACCTGAGGGTTGTTTATCCTGCTTCCCTTATTCCCCTTTTCGAACTACTGCACTACCATGGCCGCACCAACCCGCCCCTCGGTAATTCCCTTGATCATCAACGGCAAGGAAGAATACACGGCGTCGACCTTTGATGTGATAAGCCCTTATACCAACCAAGTTTGTTGGACAACAGCCTCAGCATCGGCCCAGGACGCAATTCGCGCCGTCGAGGCGGCGGAGGCAGCTTTTCCCTCCTGGTCGCAAACCAAACCTACTGTGCGACGAGACATCCTCCTGAAAGCAGCTGATATTTTGGACAGTCGTCTCGAGCAAAATGCAGAATATATGCGGACGGAAATGGGCGCCGATGTCGGTTCGTCTCTGCATTTCATCGCTCCGCTCGGGATTCGCATGTTGAGGGATATCGCGGGGCGCATCACTTCCATTTGCGGTAGTGTTCCCGTCGTCGACGAGGAGGGCCAAAGTGCCATGATTTACAAGGAGCCCATGGGGGTGATTCTCGGGATCGTACCTTGGTATGTCTCATGTCGTCAGGCATGTGAATACCAGACTGACCGAGCAGGAACGCTCCGTACGTATTTGGAGTCCGCTCTGCAGCTTGCGCGCTTGCAGCTGGCAATACGACGATCCTTAAATCCTCAGAGCTCTCACCTTGCTCATACTGGGCGCTCGTGCGCGCCTTCGAAGATGCAGGCCTACCGCCTGGCTGCCTCAACCTGGTATCTTGTGCCCCCCAAGATGCCCCCGACGTGGTTAATGCCATGATTGAGCATCCAGCTGTGCGCAAAATCAACTTCACGGGCAGCACAGCCGTAGGCAGGAAGATTGCTGGAGCTTGTGGCCAAAATCTGAAGCCATGCCTGATGGAACTAGGAGGCAAGAACAGCAGTATTGTGTGCGCAGACGCTAAAATCGAGACTGCCGTGAAGGGAGTCCTGGCGGGCGCATATTTGAATGTATGTGGCTCATTTGCACAGCCTTTGTCACACCTGTTTTCTCTTTCAATTACTGATGTTCTACAGTCAGGCCAAATTTGCATGGCTACGGATCGCATTCTTATTCACTCGGCTATTGCACCCATCTTCATCGATGCACTCAAGAAGGCGCTCAGCTCCAATGTCGACCCTTCGTCACAGCCCCCAACCATAGTCAACATGCGCTCAAAAGCACGAGTCAACAACCTTATCAAAGATGCACTGGCAGGTGGCGCCCACTTGATCCACGGTTCGTTAGATGAGGACTCTGCTCAGGCAAACAATGGCGTTCGGTTGGCGCCTGTGCTTCTAGGTGGAGTCACTGAAAACATGAGCGTTTGGCAAGAAGAGGCCTTCGCTTCATTAGCAGCATGTATGGTTGTGGACAGCGATGAAGAGGCTATTCGGATCGCAAACGGTAGCGGCTATGGCTTGTCTGCAGCCGTGTTTACCGAAGATCTGCGGAAGGGGTTGGCGATGGCACGTAAGATCCAATCAGGGTAAGCCATTAGCCTCACTGCATCTAACGCTGGTTGACGGCCGAGGACTAATGATAATATTTTGTAGGGCTGTTCACATTAATAGTATGACTGTCCATGACGAACCTGCCTTGCCGCATGGGGGCGTCAAGAATAGTGGGTGGGGTCGTTTCAACTCATCTCAAGGACTGGATGAGTTCCTACTCACTAAGAGTGTGACATGGATGGATTGATGTTGATACTCGGGCTCCGATTGATGCGATTGCGCGAGCGCTTTTAATGCTGATTCCGGAGGAGCAGCCAGTCATTAGAGAGACCTGTGATTTGAGGGGAAGTGTGACAGATGTGGGGGTATAGGGGGATTGGTTGGTGAAGGGAAGAGGGAAAAGCGTACTTTAGTCCTTCATCTGACTGATGAGCTTTTCGTCCCGGATGATTTGCATGGCTGTGGACCGAGAGTCGCCTGGGCCGGTGGCATCTTGACGGACAGCCTAGTATGGAGACATGATGAGGAGTCGAGCATTGAAAAGGACTCGGGTTGGCTGGTTGATGGTGGTCATCCAGAGGAGGAACATACATCGCTTTCTAGTACATAGGATAGAGGAATTCGAAAGAGGCACCAAAGAAGGGCCATGTAGCTGAGCGTCACAATAATTGACTGGCGGGCGATATACTCGTTGAAGCACTACTATGATTCGTATTTTCACGGTGGTCATTGCTAGACTGAAGTCCCGCTAATTCGATGCGGGGGGCATATGGCGCGCCAGAAACAGATCGCTGCGTAGTAGCTTAGACTCAAGGTCTCACATTCCTCTTCAATCCTTCATCTACCTACGCTTAATTCTCCCTTGAACATGGTATGTCTGGCCATGACCTCATGAGAATCTAGCACTGGATTACAAGAAAGCTAGATGCTGCTGAATTCGGCCCTGTGTTTTGGACAAGATGCTTGCTTTCTGAACCTGAAGGTTTTCTTGCCCGCTTGCCTTAGGCATTCAGCCGGTAAGCACTGAGATTCATCGATCGGTTCAGCGTTTGTTCTTCCTGGCCCTCTGAAGCCTTTGAAACACTCAGTTCCCAGCAAATTTTAACTTCCATCTCCACACGGAGTCATCTATTAACCCACGTGGAATTAACATTACAATGCAAGATATAACGGCCAGTTACCATGCAAATGAAATGCGCCGGAGCCATGCAAGCAGCATGGCAGCCTGCAGCTCCTGGAGTCAGTCCCCATTATCTTGGACGGTGTCACAGAGTCTTTCCTCGATGTCACCACCAAATCGGCCAACGGCAGTGGCTGTAGGACTGTACTCAAGTCTCTGTCTGTTGTCAAAGCTTCGTGAGAGGTCCAGAGGCGCTAACTATATGTGTGACTATTAGCATACCCCGGTATGAGAGAGTAATCCGCGGATTTGCAGCTACCATTTGTCGAAACTTGGAACCTCAAATATTGATACTCAGCTTTGTGATATACATTGCCTCGCCACAATCACTACATGTCGAGCTTTCTTAAAGGTCTCCTTCATCGCACACTGATTGGGCTTTATTAAGAGATAACGGGATGTAGCTATGGGCAGTTGCACCGCTACTTTCCTTTCCGTCTCCGTGTCGTTTTACCCTGAGCATCTCAGTTGTCTTGATTACGCCTCGAGTCAATCATTCCTCACTGTTTCCGCGAAAAGGTCGCACAGCATCATGAGTGCAGCTGGCGGTCTAGCTTTGCCACTAGAAGATGTTACACACGATGTCTGGTTAGTGCTGATTGTCCGCACTCCTTTGCAGTATGCTTTGACGAAGCTCAGTTCTCTAGCATGAAGTGCTGTGAGCCTAATGAGGCAAGTTGTGATACAAATTCAGTCTCAAGTAATAGGTTGGCTGCGCAAATGAACCACCAACATCTTCGAATATCCAACCGGTATGAGCAAGCATACATCCTTGGTCAAGAGATATATTCAAATACATTTTCACCCACGGCAGTATGCAAGCACCGAAGTCAGATGAGAATATCAAGGGCATTGATATACAGATGGAGAATGAGCCACACTCGCCAGCCTCTGATGGAGATTGTTCAGCTCCTCCACACCCCAAAGACGCTCCAAATGTGGGCCTGTTAGGTGGTTCACCCCCAAAGCCTGCCCTTGAAGAACTGCCAGGATCCTTTATCCCAATTGCTGTGGTTGGTATGGCGATGAGACTTCCTGGGGCTGTTCGCACAGGGGACCAATTTTGGGACTGTTTAATCAGGAAAGAAGATGGTGTCTGTGAGGTGCCAAAACCAGATATAATGCAGATGCATTCTATCATCCGACCAAGGAAGGCTGCACTAAAACCAAGTATGGCTATTTCCTAAAAGACGACCCAGCCTGTTTCGACGCCCATTTCTTCTCGATACGGGACTATGAAGCAGCCAGCATGGGTCCGCAGCAGCGACTCCTGCTAGAGCTAGTTTGGGAATGTCTTGAGAGTGCAGGCGAGACAAACTGGGAAGGGAGGGATATCGGTTGCTTCTTAGGCGTTTTCGGAGAAGACTGGCTGGGTCTTTCCCATCGGGATCCAGAGACCATTGACAGAGCCCATGCTCTCTCTACGGGCGATTATACTCTGGCAAACTGCATCTCCTACAAGTATGACTTCCGGGGCCCAAGGTACGTAATGGCCATTCCATAGAGGAAACACTTGAGTTTAATGATGATAGCCTAACATCGTCTGCAGTATGACAGTCCAAACGGCCTGCTCATCCAGCCTAGTCGCAGTTCATGAAGCATGCCAGGCCTTGGCCGCTGGAGTTTGCTCATCTGCTATTGTTGCTGGCACTAATCTTATCTTTAGCCCTACAATGACAGCGAGCCTGTCCAGCAATATGATACTGCAAAGCATCTCGGCCGACCCCCTAGGCGGAAGGGCCTCGGCCAGGATAAATCGAGTAAAGCAGCATGACACTCCTTACCTGATTCATCCAACCATGATTGATCAATGCCTGCAGCTCGTGAGCGTTGCAGGGGCAGCAGGGATATTTCGGCGCATCATGAAAAATACAATCCCTGCTTCGATCGATCGAATGTTCATTGGCAGAGGTGGTGACCATATGCAAGTTGGGGTGACTGTCAAACGGGGATCTGGCAACTACTTCGTGGGAGACGCAACTGCTATGCTTGATGGCAAAGTAGTACTTTCCATGAAGCGCGGACTGCTCTTCTCACTGGGTGATCAGGAACAGACCCAGTCCATCCCACTAGTAGCGCAGATGCAATGGAGGCCCAGCATTGACTTTCAGCACCCTCAAGCGCTACTACCACACACAGAACTTTCTGTAGCCCAACTTGCAATTCTTGAACAAGTGAGACAGATATCATTTTGGTATATCTTACAGACGGCCGATATAATCAGGGACATGCGCCCGGTGGCTTCACATCTAGTCAAGTGGAAAGGCTGGGTCTTGAGTGAGGCGGCTAGAATTTTGGAAAACAACTAGATATCAGGCTCCCACTTGGAGAAATGGATGGTTATGTCGAGCGCGGAAAAGGATGCTATGATCGGAACCTTAAGTTCTAACGTGACTAGCGATGTGGGCATCGACGGCACAATCCCAGTCGTCTGCATGAACGAGATCTATGCGAACTGCCAAGGGATCATTTCCAATCACGTTGCTCCGCTGGATCTACTTCTGGACGAAAATCGACTGGGCCGTTACTATGCTTACTGCCAGGAGGGTGCTAACTGGAGCACATTTCTGACTCTCTTAGGTCACTCAAAGCCATGGTTTTGTGTTCTCGAGGTTGGAGCGAGCACTGGAGCTGCCACAGCGGCCACGCTACAATCATTATACGTATCAGGGATGCCTATATATGCGAAATATGTGTTTACTGATATAACCCCCAGTTTTCTCGCGGCAGCCCAGAGCAGATTTGAGCGTTACCAGAACATAGAATATAAGATTCTCGACATCTCTCGTGATCCGCTCGAACAAGGCTTTGCAGCTTACGAGTTCGATCTTGTCATCGCATCTAATGTTAGGCTTTCTGGGATCGAGTGGCCCCTGTCATTGCTAACCTAGCCGTCAGGTCATTCATGCAACACCATCGTTGAAGCACTCACTTGCTAATGTCCGGAAGCTGCTTAACTCGGATGGGCATTTCTTGCTCCATGAGTTGCACTCAGGTATGGACTCGTTACTGGTTTTGTGTGTCGAACTGGCAACTAAACACCAGCGGGCAGATATACTGAGCAATGACTACATAATGGTGAGTGCCCAGGAATAGACTATCTGGTACAGATGCAGACCTTCAAACTCATCTTATGGCAGGGAACGTTGCCTGGATGGTGGGTGGGTGAAAAGGACGGACGAACGAACAGACCCTACATCACCCCAGAAAGATGGCACCAGAAGCTACAATCTGCTGGTTTCACAGGCACTGAGGCTACGCGCTATGAGTTTGATGCGCCTTACCGATCTTTTGTCACCATGATCACACGACCCTCTCTTAGTCCAAGAATAAATCCGACGGTTTCGTTGCTAGTCTCTGATCCTGGGCCCCCAAGCCCCTGGGCAAATACTGTTCGTTCCAGGCTCACAGACCTGGGTATACAGTGGAATGGACAACTCTGGCCCACTCGCCTATCGATACCACGTATATCTTATGTTTACTGGATCTAGAGGGCCCATTCCTCTATGAGTTAACTGAACAGAGATACCACGCCTTGAAAGCTTATCTAGTTCAAGCCAGTCGATGCCTGGTTTTATGGGTTACAAAGAGCACGCAAGTAACTTGTTGGAACACAAATTTTGGCTTGGTACCAGGGTTCGTGCGATCTATCAGGCGAGAACTGGTGATCGACTTTTGCATACTTGAGATCGAATCGTTTGATCGCAGTGCAGCAGAAGCTGTTGAAAGTATTCTCCAAAAGATCAGTCACTCCAGAGAGGCATCAGGCCGAGATCTGGATTATGAGTTTACGTTATACGAGGGCACTATTCATACCAGTCGGTGTTATTGGTCGCTAGGAAATCAAAATGACATCCCGGAGCTAGAATCAGAGCTCCCTAAAAGGATCCATATTGGTAGGAGTGGTCGACTTGATAGCCTCAGATGGCGGGAATATCGTGAAGAGGACCTAGGTGACGACGAAGTTGAGATTGACATCCACTATATTGGTTTGAATTTCCGGGTCGGTACTTAGGTTGCAGCCACGCCACCATATGACTAACATCTGACATAGGATATCCTAGTAGCATTGGGCTATGTCGGCAACTCAGATCAACTAGGAGTGGAAGGAAGTGGAACTGTTCGACGAGTCCGTCATCATGTCACCGATCTCATAGTCGGGGATCAGGTGCTGGTCTTGGGCCCGGGACTTTTTGGCACTCGGTCGGTTGTCAATCGACGGCGCTGTAAAAAGCTAGACAAAGGGCTGTCCTTGGAGGATGCAGCAAACATGGCGCTTGTGTATCCGACGGCAATCTATTCATTGGTCCATGTCGGACAGATCAAGAAGGGTCAGGTATGCCAATCTTCCTTCCCAGATGATACAGTTCACTGATGGCAGCACGAAGACGGTTCTTGTTCACTCTGCATGTGGCGGATTCGGTATGGCTGCTATTCAAGTATGCACGCTACTTGGTGCAGAGGTATGTGAAGGGGAACACTTTGCCCTCTGCGGCACTTTTCTAACCATCAAGAACAGATATTTGCAACAGTTGGAAACCAGATCAAAAGGGACCATCTCATCCAGAAAGTCAACATCCCCCCAGATCACATGTTTGATTCGAGAAGCGCAAGCTTTCTTCCATCCTTGATGGAAGCAACAGGCGGACGCGGGGCGGATATCGTTTTGAACTCCCTGGCTGGAAACCTGCTGCATGCTTCTTGGGAATGCGTTGCCCCATTTGGAAAAATGATTGAACTAGGCAAGAGAGACTTTTCCCTCAATGGCACCCTGAGCTTGAAGCCATTCCTTAACAATCGTGCTTTTATTGGTGTCGACCTTCTGGAGGTGTTACATACAGATCCAGAGACTATCCACCGGTCAGTATTCAGTTATGAGGTTAGGTTAATTATTTGCCAGCTAAAGCTCAATTTAGTGAAATTACGCAACTTGTATCGTGGTACGAAGAGGGCAAGATCCTGCCCATTCGTCCGGTCAGAGTATTTGAAGCCCGTGACGTGGCGGACGCATTTCGATATATGCAACAAGGCACCCATATGGGGAAAATACTTGTAAGAATGCCTCAAGACTCTGGCCAACTACCGAGCTCGAGTATAGAGAAATCCGCGTCATTCCATCCAGAAGCATCCTATCTCCTGGTCGGTGGGCTTGGAGGCCTGGGGCGTGCAGTATCCACATGGATGGTAGAGAAAGGGGCACGACACTTAGTGTACCTTTCTCGGAATGCAGGAGTACAGGATGATGATAAGGAGTTCATACATGAGCTCGAGATCGCAGATTGTCATGTGCAGTGTGTTCGGGGAAGCGTCATAAACCTTGAAGATGTGCAATGTGCCGTTGCAAGGAGCAAGAAGCCATTGAAAGGAGTTCTGCAGATGTCCTTATGTTTGAGGGTAAGACTTTGCCATCGCAGCGGAAGGGTACCGACTATGCTGACACCTGGGCTACTAGGACGGCCCTTTTACGAATATGAGCTATGAGGATTGGCAGGCGTCAATAGCGCCCAAGGTCCAGGGCACATGGAACTTGCACAAGGCAGTCGCAAAAGAAGATCTGGACTTTTTTGTTCTATTCGGCTCTTTGGTTGGGCTTTGCGGCAATACCAGCCAGGCCAACTACGCAGCAGCTAATAGTTTTCTTGACGGATTCTCACAGTATCGTCGCCAGCTCGGCCTGCCGTCGTCCGTCCTGGCACTTGGGGCTGTTGGAGAGACTGGCCTAATCACCCGACAGCCACGGCTTCTGCAGGCAATGAAAAGTGTTGGCACATGGCTTCTAGGGGAGGATGAGGTGCTAAAAGGGCTAGAGGTGTGTATCTTACAGTCTCATGCACCCAGCAGGATCTCGACCTCGGGCCCTGTCATAGTCGGGCTTGGATATACAAGACCGCTTTCCGATCCAACCGTTCGACTCTTATGGCCTGAACGTGACGCTCGATTTGCATCCTACGCAAATATCGACAGCATCTCCGAGCAACAGTCTGGCGAAGCAAGTAGCAACTTGCTGCGAGACCTAGTTCGTGAAGCAGAAAGGGACCCAAGTATCATGTTCAGCAAGGAGACCATTGATCTTATCATGAAGGAGACTGCCCGCATGGTTTGCGCGTATCTGGCTGTATCTCAAGACCTTGACGAGAAGCAGAAATTGGATGTTGTGATTGACTCTCTTGCCTCCATCAAGATCAAGAGCTGGGTACAGCGCAACCTGGGACTCGAGATCAGTATGCCTGATATTGCCAAGTCACGCACTGTGAGAGGACTGGCGCAATTGGCTGTGGGGCGTTTGAAAGCGCATTTCAAGGCGAAGATGGACATGGAAGGAGCGCATGAAGAAACTGCTACAGAAGTTCCCAACTAGCATTGTTGCCCAGAGCTGTTGTGTTTTGATCCATTCATGAACGATGTGTGACTGGATGGAGGTACTTAATTGAGGTCATTCCATGTCATTATGCTCTCAACTGTTCCTATTCTTCACACAATCGCTTACCCCACGAGCAAATAGCCCAACTTATCTCCACGACCTCCCCAAACACGACACTCGGTTCCAATGCACCGAAAATGCCCACAGCTAGTAGATAACTAAGCTCAACACCACTCAGGTACGAAGTAATCCCTCGGGCTATTTTCCCCCGAGCGCTCTCCCGCCCATTCTCTCCCCTTAATACTCAACTCGTACTGACCAGTATGTACATTTCACTGAAAACATCCCCCATTCCAAGATACATATCCTGAACTTAACACAGTCAAATTCAAACCACATCCCATTCCAACAGTAAGCCTCCTCACAGTCTCAGTTGTGGAAGCCAAAATAGGCGCCGGCAATAGCCCACCCCCCAAAAGGGTAATTTCATTAAACGACACCGCTACGACATTGGTGCATCTCGGAATTCAATCCCTTGTTGCTGATTGGTGGAGTTGGTAGTCAGTTGCCGGGGTCAGGTGATCTTGCTTTTGCAGATCGGTATGTTACTTACGAAGTAGATTATCGTATTTAATACATAACTTGGGTGAATTGTGGGTTGGAGATTTGGTTGCATGAGTATATTTGGCTTTGAAGAAGAGAGTTTATGTGTTGTAGAGGAAGGGGTTAATTAGGGGCGTAGTGTATGGATTGATTCTAGATTGAATAGGCTGGCTGGTTTGGGTGATTGTATGATGGGTTTCGGTCCGAGGTAACTTGGTTAGTGGTTAGTGGACATTCCCCGGGTCTGCAAGTCTGCAACATTTCTTTGTGGTCTGGTTTGTATGGGGTAACTGTACTCCGTACTCCGTAAAGTAGTATTACGCCACCAGGGTCCGATACCTGTCCTTCACGTAAGTATGAATGGTCTTTATTGTGAGACTCCCCTCTACTCTACCTTGGGTCTACAACATTATCATCAAACTACGCTAGACTCCCTCTGAGCAGACAGACATGAACAATCCAAGAATCTCGATGGATTAAAGCATCGATCATCTTAAGCCCAAAATTCAGACTCTTCAGAATCCGGGGAGAGTTTAAAGACCCGCCGAGCATGACGTGCCGGCTGACTTAAGCGTGCAATGTCATTTGCTGATGGGTGGGAGGGTGGACGGGCATGTGAAAGGGCCCCCAGGCCGTAAGTTGTTCGTCCATGTCATGGGAGGAGGAGGAATTGCTCTGGTGACGTTCTGCATGTGATGATGGTTCTTGGGTATTCTATCTTCAGTCCTTAGTTAGGAAGTGAAGGGCTAGGGGCGTCTGTGTATAGGGCATAGTTATAACCACGATGGATAACTCCAGACCTGTCAAGCACAGACTAAACCAGACCCATCGAATCCACCACAAGAACGACTCCATCAAGGTCTCGAAAATATGAACAAGAATCAGTTACCGGACCCAGGTCGGACCGGGTTCGCGAACGGTAATCGTACGGTACATACCAGGCAGTGGATGGATGAGCCTCGGCCGAGTGAGCGTCTCCCCCGTCGGCTTCTGAACGCTTTCTCCCCCGGATCGCTGGCTGCTTAAAGATCTACCTTCCCTGCCTGCCTACCTCCTCCTTTCTGTGTCTAGTTCTGATCTCTCTCCATCCTTCTCGCCATCCCCTTCGACTTCCCTTGTATCCTTTCATATCCTCCACGATGGCAACCGCCCCTAGAGTGATCGTTGTTGGCGGTGGACGTGAGTTGGTCCTCTCACCGCATGGAAACAGCTTTCCCCGCATTGCTGACCATTGTCTCGTCTCTCAGTGTCCGGGCTTAGTGCCGCCCACACCGTCTACCTTAACGGTGGAAATGTGCTCGTTCTGGACAAGCAGGGTATGTTTGATTTGCCCTTCTGCAGATTTTCGGTCGCATTATAATTGAATTTATGGGAAACTGACCCAAACAGCCTTCTTCGGTGGCAACTCCACCAAGGCTACATCCGGTATTAACGGCGCCCTGACGCGCACCCAGGTCGACCTGGGCATCGCCGATAGCGTCAAGACTTTCTACGATGATACCCTCAAATCTGCTAGAGATAAGGCGCGGCCCGATCTGATCAAGGTCCTCACATACAAGTCCGCTGCTGCCGTCGAGTGGTTGCAGGATGTGTTCAACCTCGACCTCACCCTTGTTTCCCGTCTCGGGTGAGTTTTCCTTCCTAGGAGGAAGGTCACTCGTACAATCGTACTGATTCAAGCAGCGGTCACTCTCAGCCCCGTACGCATCGTGGTCACGATGCCAAATTCCCCGGCATGGCCATCACATACGCCCTTATGCAACGGCTAGAAGAGCTCACGGATGCTGAGCCCGACCGTGTCCAAATTCTCAAGAAGGCTCGCGTGACCTCCATCAACAAGTCCGGAAACAATGTGACGGGTGTGACCTACGAGTACAATGGCGAGACACATACCGCCGACGGTGTTGTCGTTCTGGCCACCGGTGGCTACGCCGCTGACTTCGGCGACGGCTCCCTTCTGAAGCAGCACCGTCCCGACACTTTCGGTCTGTCCAGCACCAACGGCACGCACGCCACCGGTGATGGCCAGAAGATGCTGATGGAGATTGGTGCCAACGGCATCGACATGGATAAGGTCCAGGTCCACCCCACGGGTCTCGTGGACCCCAAGGACCCGACCGCCAAGTTCAAGTTCCTGGCGGCTGAAGCCCTGCGTGGTGAGGGTGGTCTCCTCCTCAACTCAGACGGCGAGCGGTTCTCCGACGAGCTGGGCCACCGTGACTACGTCTCCGGACAGATGTGGAAGGAGAAGGAGAAGGGCAAGTGGCCCATCCGCCTCGTTCTCAACAGCAAGGCGTCCAATGTCCTCGACTTCCACACTCGCCACTACTCTGGCCGTGGTCTGATGAAGAAGATGTCCGGCAAGGAGCTCGCCAAGGAGATTGGTTGCGGCGAGGCAGCCCTCAAGAAGACTTTCGACGAATACAACCTCATCGCCGAGGGCAAGAAGAAGGACCCCTGGAACAAGCGTTTCTTCCACAATCTGCCTTTCAGCATCGACGATACCTTCCACGTGGCTCTGATGGAGCCCGTTCTGCACTTCACCATGGGTGGTATCGAGATCAACGAGCACGCCGAGGTTCTCAACTCTGAGCAGCAGCCATTCGACGGTCTGTACGCTTGTGGTGAGCTTGCTGGAGGTGTGCACGGTGCCAACCGTCTGGGTGGTTCTTCCCTGTTGGGCTGTGTTGTGTACGGCCGTGTTGCGGGTGACAGAGCCAGCCAGTACCTCTTCCAGAAGCTGCTCTCTGGCGGTGCTTCCACCGCCGCCCAGCGACTGGGCCAGATTTCCCTGCACATCGACCCGGCCACTCCGGGTAAGATCTCTGTTGAATGGGCCGGAACCGGTGGTGGTCAGGTTGCCGCGGGTGCCGGAACTCCCGCTGCCTCGGCCCAGAGTGCCAAATCGGCTGCTACCCCTGCAGGTGCCGCTGAGACGGCCAAGCCAAAGGAGCCTGCCAAGTTCTCGATCCCTGAAAAGGAATACTCAATGGAGGAGATCGCCAAGCACAACAAGAAGGAAGACCTATGGATTGTAGTCAAGGGTGTCGTGCTGGATGTGACCAACTGGCTGGACGAGCACCCGGGTGGAGCTAACGCTCTCTTCAACTTCATGGGCCGCGATGCCACAGAAGGTATGTTTGCTTCTTCACCACCGATGACGTTGAGCCCATTCTAACCTAACTCCAGAATTTGCGATGCTCCATGACGACGAGGTCATCCCCAAGTACGCTGGCCACATTGTCATCGGCCGTGTCAAGGGCCAGACCCCTAGCCTGGAGCTGTAAAAACATGACATAGAACGAAGATATATCGGTTGGGAAGAGAAAACAACCATGCCGCCATTTTTGACACATACCCATTTTTGTTGATTTTCTGCTGAGCATGTCCATCGTGATGATTTTCAGGACTACGGTTTCGTCCTTGTGTTATGTTTTCGGTATGTAAGATACAATTTATTCCAATTGTTCTTAGACAAAAAGGTCTTTGTAGATCCATGGTGTCCATGGATGATCACAGCAAATGACTGTTCGATCAGCTGCAGTAGACGATCAAGCCAAGAGTACATAGAAGGGAAGTAGTATCAAGGGAAACCGATTCGTTCCGACCGTAGGGACCTTATAATACAATAGCCAAGTCCTCGGCAAGCCGGGTCATTGCTGCATGTGCTTTAGGATCATCTTCAGTCGTCGCACAGCAGGCCCCTCCTCCGCTCTCCCAGTTTTCTTATTGGATTCCATTTCCTTGGCGGCAGCCTCCAACGTAGGGCGCAGGTAGCCCCAGACTTCGTCATGGTATCGCTCCTCGACAGAGAGCCAATTCGCCGCCCCGGGTAGACCAGCCAAAACGGCGTCTCGCAGCGTGGCTGCATCCGAGTTACCTCCCGATGGAATCGTGTCCAGGAAATCACCGATATCCGGGACCAGGCTGTGGGATGTTAGATTGCCGGGTGATGTTGCGGGCGCAGCTGGGGGTGTAAGGCGACGGAAGGACTCGATCATTTGTATTTCTGCAGGTGTAAGTTGTACAGGAGTGAATTCTGTCTCGATAATTTCAGCGGGCTCGTCAGCTGTAGGGGGGAACTCGGGATCGAAGGTCCGATCAGAGAGGAGGGATACGACTGCATCGCCGTCGGAGGAAAGGAGAGTTGGTTGGTCGGGTAGAGCCCATTGTTCAGATGTGACAAGATTGGTGGGATCGCTGTCCGACTCTCGTCCTTTGCCCTTGCCCTTTCCCTTGGATTCATTCGCGTCTGAACCGGCAATGAAGCTGCCATTGTCACCGTCGAAGGACTCCGCGCTGTAAGTGCGCTGAAATTCATCTTCCGTGAGCGGAGGAAGTTCAAATCCCCCTGGTCGCGCGGTAGACGATGACCGGAACGTTTCGGTAGAGGTATATATCGGAGACTCTCGAGTTGAGGGGGAGGCAGAAGTAGAGCTTTCCCTATACTGCTGGGCCGCTGCTAGTGCCGCGTGTGACGATGAATTCCCGGCCTTACCGCTGTTCGCCAGCAATTGGGCGGAATCGGCTGACGAGCCAGGGGCGGAAAAGACATTCCTGGCGAGTCCCGAAGCTGAGTTCTGGATCCGACTGGCCAAAGAAGGGCTCCTTGGGCGTTCATTGGTACCTGAGGAGGAATTGGCATCGTTGCGGTGTGTGTTTGCGGGCTTGTCGTCACTGCCCCGCTTCTCGTTGTTGGACATGGTTTGTCACGGGCGGGGAGTGTCAGTGCTGCCAGAAAGAGTACCAGGTCGCAAGCAACAGCGATCGGGGCAAACAATCCGAATGAGCTGGTCGGGTTGAGCAAAGGGGAATGATAAGAGATCCTAGATGTTTCAGTGGCTTTCACGGAAATACTGGGTTAGTGTTCGGTCCAAAGGAGTCGGGATCAGTAGGAAGAAGTGCATGTGCATGTGAAGAGCCTCAGGCCAGGCTGGAGCTGGAGTCCTGAGATTCCAAGCAGCGCGGCACCCGATGAAACTGACGGATTCGGAGAGATCTGGATGGGGAGATGCTGGGCTGGGAAAAATAAGGATGCATTCTGATCGCATCTCTGGTACCTGGGGAAATAGTTCGCACGGGATCCAACTGGCCCCTCCATCCTTCGTTAGCTTCATCATAGATGGTTAGTTGTTTGTTGTTATGCGAACGTCTGCTGGATCCAAAGACAAGGCAACCCAAACCACCAGGGCGGTCATTTAAGACCACGCCGTTGAGGGACAAGCATTTTTCGAGAGCATTCACCCCACGAGCACCTTTCACGGTGAATCCAGGCATGCATACTACAATGGCTGCAGCGAGTGCGCACAACAATGGCCGGCAGAGAGTTGCAATGGAGGGGACAGTGGTTGATGTCAGCGCCCGGCCGAGTTAAGTTGGGTAGTTGCAGCGTGTGTGGGTTTACGGGCAGCCACTGCTCCCCACCACCGACAGACGGGTCTTGCCAAACCACCACCGCCTCACCTCAACCACCACTGCAGCACCACCACCGTCTTTCTCCTCCACCACTCATCCATCTCCCTCCATCATCGTCATCCTCTCCCTCCCACTTCCCGCCTCACCCAAACTCCTCCCTTCCCCTCCCTCTTCTTTCTACCCTTCAGCCGACCGTCGTCCCTTCGTACGGCTGGTCTGTGCTTGTCCTTGTGTTTTCCCATTTATTATTAGACACTAGCACAACCACCCACCATTAAATCCCCAGAGAGGAGGGTCTCCCCCAATCCAAAGTCAAAAAGGAAAAAGACCCCAAAACAAAATTCCTCCCCACCCTTCAACCCTCCTCGTCTGGCCTGATCAGCCCTGGCTGTCAATCATTCGTCTCCTCCAGCTTGCAAGTGACTCAGCTCGGTCTTCTGCTTCTCACGTTCCTTTCGGACGTCGCGGCCTTGCTTCCTTCCTCACCTCTCCGCCTCTGCCATTCCCTAGTCGGATGCTCCCAACCGTCTTTATCCCCGCTTGAGGTCCACTCCTATCACGAATACCGTCGCCTGTCCGTCGTTCATCCCATCGCTACGCCTCCTCTGTTCGCCTTGAACGAACTACTCCGTCGAGTGAAAAGTTCTCCGGCTCGAATCCTTGCAGCACGAGACCAGTATCTGCAGACCCCGCCTTGGCCATCGCAAACGAGCTCCTCGATTTGTGGCTCCTAGAATCTTCCTCTCCCGGTCGCTCATAGACAACCCGACAGAGGGTGGACTTGAAAGAAAATGGTAGACAGGGAACCAGGTACACCTACCTGGAAGTTCACGCAGTGAGTAAAACCCCTTGAATTTATGTGTGCCAGTGATGCCAGTTGTTTACGGTGGATGCGCCGGCTTTCAATCTTTGTCATGCTTGTGGCTACGTTTGGGCGAGGAGCGGGGTCGGGTTGGCAGATTGTTGGGGGAGTGTTGTTTCCGCTTTTGAGCCACAATGGCATATCCACGGTAATCACGCCATACTAATTTCTGTAATTAGATGCTTTGGTGACAAAGGCGATGTGGAGGACATCACAGAAGGTATGTCCCCCGCCTTTGATTCCTGAGCCTAGACCTCTCTCAGTATCATCTACCCTACTGTCGGCTGACATTGCTTGCTCCCCAGCGGACATCATTTCAACCGTTGAGTTTGACCACACTGGCAACTACCTAGCAACGGGTGACAAGGGAGGACGAGTGGTGTTATTTGAGAGAAATGAAACGGTAGCAAAGCCCTCGCCTTCTCTGCGCTTGTGAGGACGGACGTCTCTAACAGTCCATAGAAAAAAACTTGCGAGTACAAATTTCATACCGAATTCCAGTCGCACGAGCCGGAGTTCGACTATCTCAAATCCCTGGAGATCGAAGAGAAAATCAACAAAATCAAGTGGTGCAGACGGCAAAATGCGTCCCACTTTCTCCTCTCAACTAACGATAAAACGATAAAACTCTGGAAGGTGTTTGACAAGTCATTGAAGGTTGTTGCAGAAAATAACCTCTCGAGCGAGCTGACCCCTGCGGGTGTCGGTGGTGGAGGGGCTCCCCGTGCGCCCCGCATAGCATTCAAGGATCCGTCGATGTTGAAGCTCCCACGGATGACGCATCATGATACTGTCGTGGCGGCCGTACCTCGGAGGACATACGCCAACGCGCATGCGTACCACATCAACAGCATTTCCGTTAATAGCGACGGGGAAACATTCATAAGCAGCGACGACCTCCGGATTAACCTCTGGAACCTGAATATCCAGGATCAGAGCTTCAACATTGTGGACATCAAACCCGCAAACATGGAAGAGCTTACGGAAGTCATCACGGCAGCTGAGTTCCACCCACAAAGTTGCAACTGGTTCATGTATGCCAGTTCAAAGGGCACAATCAAGCTTGCCGATATGCGGCAGCGAGCATTGTGCGATGAGCACTCAAAGCGTATGTGATGTTCTGCAGTCGTTCTTTTCCTGTAGGAGCTATGTACTAACACTATTGTCTACGTTAGTCTTTGAGCAAGAAGAGGATGCGTCTTCCCGATCCTTCTTTTCCGAGATTATATCGTCGATTTCCGACGTGCGATTCTCACACGACGGTCGCTACATCGTGTCGAGAGATTACCTAACCGTCAAGATTTGGGATGTCAACATGGAGAAGCAGCCGGTGAAGACGATCCCCATTCATGAGCACTTGCGACCGCGCTTGTGTGACACCTACGAGAACGATAGCATCTTCGATAAATTCGAAGTCGTTTTCTCTGGTAACGCCGAAAATGTGATGACAGGAAGTTACAACAACAACTTCATGATCTACCCCACCGACGCCAGCAAGGAGACGGAGATAGTACTGCAGGCGGACAAGTCTGCTTTCAAGGCGAAGAAGGTTGGCGTCCCCACGCCGATGAACAAGGGTGCCAACGGCAAGAAGAATGGTTCCAGAGCTGGCAGCCCTGCTGGTCCTGGTGGAAGAATGAAGAAGGAGACGGATGCCGACCAGATCGACTTTAATAAGAAGATTCTGCACATGAGCTGGCATCCTTATGAGGATAGTATTGCAATTGCTGCTACGAATAACGTGAGTGCCTTCTTTCCCTCTCGGCTATGCGGTCGATCCGTGACTGACTTTGGATGTGCAGCTGTTTGTCTTTTCTGCATTGTAGGTATGTGACAAAGTGGCCATAATCATTAATGGACAGCCATGTCAGCATGTGATCCAAAGATGGGACAGATATAAGACAATTAAGGTTCCTAGAAGCAGCAGTCGCAAATCCAAAATCAAGTTGCCAGTTCCAGTTTAGCACGCTTTCTTGCCCCGTTCTGTTGGAGTTTGGTTGTGCAGTCCTTCGTCTTCCATCCGCTTTCCTTTAGCCTTCTTCCCAATCCACCTCCGGCCGAGGTGTACCATTCTACCCTTCTATTGCAATGAACATGGTAATGTTCGATGATCGTTTGGGGAGGCGTTTAGTGGGAACTGATAGAGAAATACTACGTGGAGCCTCCAGAGGGTGACTTGTCCCTTTTGCTGCCCGACGCCTGTTCGATTGATGTGCCCCCCTGGGGGGGAAGGCGCCGGGCTCTTTTGCTGTTTATGGCACCCCCGCTATGACTAGAGCAAGACTTCGGATAGCTGGGATGGATGGTTGTATCTGCTTAGTGTCACGAAGTAGATAATGAATTTATTGGAGTTTTAAACTGAAGCTTTGATGTTCTAGTGGAGACATTATCTTCCGTTAGGGTGGATATATATATGTTCTACCCTTACCCTCGGTGCACCTAAGCAGAGCTGTATGTTCTAAAGGCTCACATTAGTGGATGAATCGTAACATGAGGATATCCCTAGCATCCCCACAAATGTGAGAAATACCAGACCATGAAGTTACACGGTCAAGGTGCCAGGGTTTGGGAGTCACTACCTAAGGTTCAACCCGGACCGGCTCATGGACGGCTGGACGGCTGGACGGCTGTGTGACCGAGCCAGTCAATGACGTCGGACCATTCCCACGGGGCAGCGTCATTGCCTCAGCCAATCAAGTTGCAGTGACTGCCGCGGCCGGAAGATTGTCCTTCCGAGAGGCGGCACTATGCGGGAAAGGGGTTAGTGCCGTCAAAGGCACTCTCCGCCTTCTGTCGGGAGACCATCCGTGATCGGTTGCGCGCAAACCATCATCACCGACTTGATCTGCTGCTCGCTGGCTAATCAGGTATTTTTTGACCTTTATTGTCTTCCCGTGACTCCGATACTCTCTTTGAGATCTGGCTGGTTGTCATCTTGCGGCTCCTTGCCTCTGTATAGTTCGTCTGCGGTTGGCAGTCTCCAGCATAGTGATGTCGCTGTGAACTCAAGCTGGAGGAAGAGAAATCACGCCGTGTGTAGAGGAACCAGAGTGCAAGAACCTCGTCAACAGGCCCGTTACCTTCTTTTAACCTGAACCTGCAGTTGCCTAGTGCTCCGAGCAGGAATCTGTGCGGCTAGGATCCCATTCATGCGCCACGACCATGAACTCTTCTGGGAACGATAACTGGCACCCCGGTGGCCCGCCAGCGCACTCGGGGATGGATCAGATCAACCAACAACCTCGCCCTTTGGGCTCATTTAGGTATGTAATGCAAAGCCGTGCGCATTGTACACCACATCTGCGCCCAGAAAAGCAGCGATAACTGACCGCGATATCTTGCGCCTTAGTCAAAACCCACCGCCTCAGCAAGGTCCATCTTCGCAGCCCACCGGACCGGTTCTCCCACCCCCAGCTGGTTAGAAACATTTACTCTCTTCAGTTCTCTCGTGACATACGATGCGAATCGTTGATTGAGCAGTTGGCTGATCTATGTGCTCCTGTCAGGTCCTTACCATCCTGCGAATCAGCCTGGCGGGCATTCTCTTCCCGGACTGGCGGAACTGAGCCAGGGCCACGCTGGTCCGCATCAGCCTCCCGCCTATGGCCAGCACCCCGCGGCCCCTGGTCATAATGCTGGTCACTCGCTCCCGGGTATCGGGCAAGCCATGCAACATCCCTCCCCTCAGTCCATCAACCGGGAACGCGAGCGGGACTCTAGAGAACGGGAGCTGATTGAGAGACAGCGCCAGGAGGAGATGGTCCACAGAGAGCGTGAGCAGCGCGAACGTGAGCAACTGGAACGACAGCAGCTTGAACGCCAGCGTGAGCAGCAGCACCATCCAGTCCAGAGTCACACGGGTTCAATCCCTATTCATCAGCCGGTGGCATCAAAAGTACCGAATTCCATCCACGGGCCCAACGGACTGTTGTCTAACCTCGGTTCGAACCCCGCAAATGGCCCACAAGGTTCTATGCCCACTCCGGGAGGACCTGGCGGGATCTACGGTCCGCAGATGCAGCATGGTGAAGGTACATCCAGATCATACATCCAACACCCGGCTGGGCCGCCAGGCCAGGCTATGATGGGGTTCAATGGCTCTGGTCCTCAGATTCCGGGCAATGTGGCTGCACTGGCGCAGGGTCAACAACCGATTTTGAATGTGAGTCCCTGCCATGCTCGGGCACATGCCCTGCAGCTAACGGCTCTCGCTTACGGTTCTCAAACAGGATGCTCTCAGTTATTTAGACCAGGTCAAGGTCCGCTTTGTTGACCAGCCTGACGTGTACAACCGGTTCCTAGATATAATGAAAGACTTCAAAAGTCAAGCGTAAGCGGCCGGATATTGTGATGGAAATGTACCCTTCTGACTTAGCAGCAGGATTGATACCCCCGGAGTCATCCAACGCGTCTCCACTCTGTTCAACGGGCACCCCGCTCTTATCCAAGGGTTCAACACTTTCTTGCCTCCTGGATATCGGATCGAGTGCGGGACGGAGGACAATCCGGATGCCATTCGGGTGACCACTCCGTCAGGTACCAATACCTTGAGCATGCCCCGTGCTAGGCACTCTTTGGACTCTTCCGGAGAGCTTGGTCCGTCCGGTGGCATGGGGCCCCATGGGCGTCCTGAATACTATGACCAGGCTCGACCTGGATGGCAACAACCCCAACCCCAACAGCAGCAGCAGCAACAGCAACAAGGGAATCTCCCCGGGTCATATTCTCCCGGCTCCCGCATGATGGGACCAAGTATGTTCGGACAGCAAGGTGGTCAGAACCAGACCCAAGATCATCACTTTGACTACCCAACCCAGCAAGAGCAGCAAGCCGCTGCAGGAGCTGCCGCCATGGCTCATCAGCAGGATCAGCGTGGCGTCTCCCAGCTTCAAGGTGCCGCATCTGCTGCCTCCGCAGGCCTCACACGTCCGTCTCTGTTGCAGGTATCAGCAGCGTCTGGACAGGGTCCTAGTTTGACTCAACCTATGAACAGCTTAGCGGGCGTGGGCACTGGAATGCTCCAAGGCTCGCAGGACTTGACCAAACGGGGACCAGTGGAATTCAACCATGCGATTAGTTACGTCAACAAGATCAAGGTGAGCATGAGAACTCCTCCTTTTTGAGAATCATTCAGAGTGACAACCACGCTGACGTTGGAATCTCTGTTAGAACCGATTTGCAAGTGCCCCCGAGATCTACAAACAGTTCCTTGAGATTCTGCAGACCTATCAACGCGAGTCCAAGCCAATTGGGGATGTGTATGCTCAGGTCACTCAGCTGTTCAATACGGCTCCCGATCTGCTGGAGGACTTTAAGCAATTTCTGCCCGAATCGGCGGCGCATGCAAAACAGCAAGCGGCCGCTCGCCAGGCCGAAGAAGCTGCTCCCATGAGCAATGTTCGTGGCGAGCCAAGCTATCCCAGCGCCAACGCTCTTCCTTCTCAGACTCCGAACCGCGACGTGAAGATGCCCCCACTGGGTCAGTTCAACGTTAAGGATTCTGCCAAGGACGGCAAGAAGCGTCGGGGTGGGCCGGGAGCTCCATCCTCCCTCGGTCCCTCGATGTCTGGTCCTTCTGCTACCGATGCGGCACGGATGGGAGATGTGCAGGTTAGATCCTCAGCCCTCCAAGCTGGTAATGCCAATAAGGTGAGTAACACTGAAGAACACTGATCGTTCCATGTGTTTCTTAAGTCTTTCATACAAAGGCTGCCTTGCTCTTATGTGCCACTTAATCTTAGTTGAAGAATAATGCTGATCAACTTGCAGAGGGCCAAGGTTCATCACACAAAGCCTTCGCAAGCGGATGTTCCGGCTGTTTCTCCCACCCTGGTTCCCGCTCTGCCTGAGCCGATACAGCCGACCTTCTCTCTGACACCCACTCAGGAGGAATTCGCCTTCTTTGACCGGGTCAAGAAGTATATTGGAAACAAACAGACATTTAGCGAGTTCCTTAAGCTCTGTAACCTATACTCCACAGACCTCATCGACAGGCATGTTCTGGTGAAACGGGCGGCTAGCTACATTGGCTCCAACCCGGAACTCATGGCTTGGTTCAAGCGCTTCATGCATGTTGATGAGCCCGAAGACAAGATCATCGACGTCAAGGCGAAGCAACAAGAGTCCGGATTGGTCAATCTGTCTCATTGCCGGTCCCTCGGGCCCAGCTATCGTCTGCTGCCAAAGCGGGAACGACAGAAGCCCTGCAGCGGCCGTGATCAGCTGTGCTACAGTGTGCTTAATGACGAATGGGCGTCCCACCCTACCTGGGCTTCGGAAGACTCCGGGTTCGTCGCCCACCGTAAGAACCAGTTTGAGGATGCCCTGCACCGCATTGAAGAGGACAGACATGACTACGACCATCATATCGAGGCGTGCACGCGCACTATCCAGCTCATCGAGCCAATTGTGCAGCAGTTCTTGGTCATGTCTGAAGGGGAATGCGCTGCATTCAAACTCCCGCCCGGTCTTGGTGGGCAGAGCGAGGCGATCTATCAACGGGTAATTAAAAAGATCTACGACAGAGCGCGTGGCGAAAAGATTATCAAGGAGATGTTCGAGAGACCGACTCATGTCCTGCCCATTGTTCTTTTCCGTCTGAAGCAGAAGTGCGAGGAATGGAAAGCTAGTCAGGTAAGGCATCACAAACCACCCTTCCCCAAGTGAATAGTAGCTGACCGTCACATTAGCGTGAGTGGGACAAGATCTGGCGCGAGCAGATGCAGAAAGCCTACTGGCGTAGTCTGGACCACCAGGCGATCGCCAGCAAAGCCATCGACAAGAAGCTGTTCGTGGCGAAGCACATCCAGACGGAGATCCAGAACAA